ATACCAGTCAATTGATTGAAGCTATAAATCAAGGTTTCAGGTCCCTGGGGAGAAGGTCATTTTGAAAATATGAACTCCATAGTCATTGTCAGAATCCCAAAATCAAGAAATTTAAGATTGTGGATTGAGAATCACTATGGTTTATATGCAAATTAGACCCTGAACCTTGGTGTCCAATTGCAGCAGTTAGAATCCACACTTATTGCAGACTGCCGGCTGCATGGAGTAGGCCAGGAAAGTAGGGATCCTGTGCATGTCCATAGAATGCATGGGTTTCGTGTGAAATGTGAATGTATGTCTATGTGGTGTGCAGGATGTGCATGGGTTTCACATGAAATGTGGATGGATACTATCTATGCAATGTGCCACAAGTATACATAGATGTCACTATAGTACCATAACAATATAAATTGACAATTGTCCCAATAAGTCATAGGTCTACCCCAATGGGCGCAATACACATGGACACTATGGATCCATACCTGGGACCAATGGATCCATACAACATATGGTATTGATGTGTGGCACAATGCATATTCTGCAGATGTGATTATTGCTATAATCAATGATACCATAGGTACCCAAAGTATAATCTATGGAATGGCCAAATGTTGGGCCACATGCCCTCAAGAGATCACCCAGAGCATTGACATGTTGAATGCAAGTGCTCTGAAAATGCAACTGAAAAAATGTCCAGATTTGTGGTTGACATGTTGGATGTCACTGCCCCAAAAATGCGGCTAAAGGAGGGTCCAGATTTGTCACTAGCACGCAGAATACCAGTGCTCCAAAAATGCAGCCGAAAAAATGTCCAGATTTGTGGTTGAGGTGCATGTCACTGCCCCAAAAATGTGGCCAAAAAAAGATCCGGATTTGTATTTAACATGCTGAATGTCATTGCTCTGATAATGTGGCCGAAAAAATGTCCAGATTTGGGATTAAATTGGTGAATGTCACTGCTCTGAAAATGCGGCCGAAAAAAAAATCCGGATTTGTATTAGTGCACCAATTCCAAAGAGTGCACCAATGTCCGAAATTTTGCATGCAATTTTGACATAGACTAGAAAACTCCTATGGAATGCTCTGAAGTCCGAAAATTTGTAGGTCATTTTGATCCGAATATAATGATCTGGGTAGAGTGCACCATTATCCAAAATTTTGGATGTAATTTTAACAGAGGCCAGACGACCCCAGTGGAATGCTCCATATCTGAAATTTAGTACTTCAATTGCCCGAAAATGCGGCCGAAAAAACATCCGGATTTGTATTAGTGCACCAATGTCCAAAATTTCAGATGTAATCTTGACACAGACCAGACAGCCCCTGAAATGCTCTGAAGTCCGAAAATGTGTAGGTCATTTCCATCCAGATATAATGATCCTTGCAGAGTGCACCAATGACCAAAATTTCAAATGTAAGTTTGACAGGTGGAATACTCCAATGTCCAAAATTTAGAATTTCATTTGCCAGAAAACACTGCCAAAAAAACATCCGAATTTGTATTTAACATGCTGAATGATGTTGCCCAAAAATGCGGCTGAATAAATGTCTGGATTTGTAGTTGACTTGGTAAATGTCACTGCTCCGAAAATGCGGCGAAAAAAACATCCGGATGTGTATTTAACATGCTAAATGTCATTGGAATTGGCCCAAAAATGCGGCCGAAAAGATGCCTGGATTTCAGGGCTCCAAACATCTGGCTGAAAACATGTCTGGAGTTGTAATTAGTATGCTGAGTGTCAATGGTCCATAAATCTGGCTGAAAAGATGACTATAGAGTCTGCTCTTTGAGACTACAGAAGTTTGAAGTATATGCTTTCCAGACTACAAAAGTATGTATTGTCCACTTTTTGTGACTACAAAGTTCGCTTTTAGACTACAAAATTTTGTAGTGTCTGCTTGTTGAGATTACAAAAGTTTGTAATGTTCGATTTTTGAGACTATAAAATTCTATATTGTCCGCTTTTTCAACTACAAATGTTTGTAGTTTCCTTTTTTCAGACTACAAAACTTTGTAGTGTCCGCTTTTTAGACTACAAAATGGGTTGTGGGTACAGGTACATTACAGGTTGAGTATGGGCCACTGGTGCAATACCCATGGGTTTTTGTAGTGGGTTCATGTTCATGGGTCTATGGTTGAAGGAGTGAGAAGGGTGGCCATTTTGCCATTGCTGTATCATTGGTTTATTGTGAATAAGTACATAGATTCAGGGTGCTATAGTTGAAGGCACTTCAGTCACCCACTGACAACTGACTATTAGTCTTGCAAACTCCATGAATACTACGGGACTAACTGTCAGGGTGTATATCTATATTGTATATATTCTGGGGCTTGTATATCTCCACTTTTACCTAAATATATTTTGTTGTCCAATGTCACACTAAATATATCTCTAGTGTGTCACACACCCCAAAACATATTTCCTCACTGGAATGGACTCCAAATATATTTCTTATGCCTGGACCCTGAATTCTGACTGTCACAATGTAGAAATATATTTCTTGTCTGGGATGGACTTGGGATATATTTTGCAGCTAGGGTTGACTAAGGATATATTTTTTCAGCCACAAGGGGTGTCTGGGGTCCTATATTTAAGAGAAAAACTTGGGATTTTTTTAAATATAATCCATATTTTACCTGAGTCTCTAGAAGATGTAATTCGGTTTCAGTCATAGCTATGTCAAATCTTCATTAAATCTCTTAACAATTGGTAGAATGATGGGTATTTACATGCTTTACTATTTTATATAACCTGTTTATTTTTCAGAGTAATAATAGTTAAGATACAAATGGTTTATATTGGTATAATAAATTATATGCAAAAAAACCGGTCTGGATCGGTCTGAAATGGTTCCATAGATTGCAAAAGACCAGTCCAAGGTGGCTCAGTTCGGTTCCCTCAATATCTGGGTCGGTCCTAGACTGGTTGCAGTCCACAGTTGCGCATTTTCGGGGCAAAAAACTGATGGGTGGTATACACTTTTAGGATAAAAACCAGACATATGCCTGGAGGGCGATGTGTATAATGCCTAGAGGTTCAATGAGATCGCATATCTCATTGTTCTAGGATATTTCATTGTGATTTTCATATGAA